ACATGTGTTATAGAAGTAGGCAGAGTCTTAGTGTGGCACTTTAGTATAAGCATTGGACTGCTAACTGCAAGGTCAGTAGTTCAAACCCACCAACTATTCCTTGGAAATGCTATACAGTTTGCTGTAAGTCATAACCAGCTTGATGACACTTAACAACATTAGAAATATACACAGCACAGAGAGAAGAGAACTTCAATCATGCTTGAAAGTGGAAGAATTAATTCAGTAGATTTAATTTTGTCATTGAATGAGGAGACTGAGTCAGCTGATGAAAATAAGGAACAAAAAGTGGTAGGATAAAGACTTGGGCAGAAAATGAATTTTTAGAACCCTTTCTGAGAAGAATAGTTGAAAAGTTGGGAAAGAAACACATTATGGTTTCTTGGCAACGTGGAGAATCTAGTTGGGAGTAGAAATAATGAATTTAGAGTTTCTTCAGTCAGAAGTTGGAATTTATTTTTTAAATATTCTTATCAATCTGGGTAAAGATTAGAGAAGGTGATTATTAAATTTGGGACTTCAGAGAAAATGGAACTAAAAAGCAATGGATGAAAGAAAAAGAAAAGCTGCGAAAAATAGCAAGATAATTTTTTCAATGCTAGCTCACAAACTTTAGGTTGAGTAGGAAAAGAAGAACCAACAGAAGTGTCTGAAAGTTTGGGGAAAACACCAGCATTCCTGACCTATCAGTCACTATAACTAAGGCATGCACGCTGTTTGATTTGACTTTGCTCAGGCACTCCATTACTGAGTTGAAGTAGAGTTACAGTTGTGGGTGGGAGAGCTCTGTTTACCCAGAAACAAATGCAGATGTTCTCCTATGAAGAAAAGTGTGTAGATGTTTATAGCAGAGACCACTGGTTTCCCTTTATCCCCACCAGTCTCTTCTTCTTTGGGGGAGCGTGGTATGTGTGGGTGGGAGGATGGTCACTGTGTTTCCTAGTCTGTCTTGTAGCAAGGGATGGCCTTATGACTAATGAACTGGACAAAAGGGTGTGTGTAGTTTCTGGAACTGTGCCTTTAAAGGGAAGGACATATCATTCTGTTTCCCTTTTCTTCCTTTCTTTAAGCTAACTTTGACCATGAGGGAGAGATTATACCCTATGGTGGGTAATTATCTAGCATCCCTGGATAATTTCATGAAAACTTCAAACCAGTTCTGATCCTGGTGTTTGTGTCACCAAGTCGGTTCTGATTTACAACGATCCTGTATAGGGTTTTTGAGGCTGTAAATCTCTCCAGAATCAGAAAGCCTCATCTTTCTCCCTCAGAGCAGCTGGTAGATTCTAACTGCTGACCTTGTGGTTAGCAACCTATCTCATAATCCACTGTACTTCTACGGCTCCTTAGTTCAGATCCTACATGATAGATTATTAAATTTCTATGTTTTTCAAGCCATTGTTAATATGGGTCTGCACTAATAGCAAGAAAACCTACATTCCAACTAATTCAGTTGTTCACTAAAAAAGGTAAGTTGGGAATATTAAACATCCATGGCATAAGGCATAAAGTAGTAAGCGTAGTGGTTACGAATCGGGCTGTGAAACGTAAGGTCAGCAGTTCAAAACTACCAGCTGTTCCGCAGGAGAAAGATGAGGCTTTCTGCTGCCGTAAAGATTTACAGCCTCAGAAACCCTGTGCAGGGTTGCTATGAAGCAATAAGCAGAGGTACAGAAAAAAAATCGATACCATCTCAAGCCAGGTTGTAAGTTTTGAAGATTGCTGACAGATTCCAGAGTATCGATAGCTGATGGAGTGTAGGCCAGGGAATGTGTCTCTGCAAGTCAGTTCTTACAGGCAGGCAGAGACAGCAGTGGCTCTGGAAAGCAGCCATGGTAGTCTAGTGTTTAAACACTCAGAAGGTCAGCAGCTTGAACCTACCTACCAGCTGCTCTGCTAGAGAAACCTATGGCAGTCTGCTTTTGTAAAGAATCAAAAAACCAAAACAAAAAACATCGTCATCAAGCCTAACTCAAGGGACTCTGTAAAAACAAAGTACAACTGCCCTCACAGAGTTTCCAAAACTCTGAATCTTTATGGAAGCAGATTGACCACTTAACCATTGTTGTTGTTGTGAAGTGTCATCGAGTTGGGCTCTAACCCATAGCGACCCTGAATAGGGTTTCTGAGGAGCAGCTGGTGAGCTTGAACTGCCAACCTTGCAGTTCAAACAGCTTTGCCGTCTGGTGCATTAACCTACAGCACCACACCAGGACTCCACTTAACTATTGTTGTTGTTAAGTGCTGTTGAGTCAGTTTCAACCCATAGCAACCCTGTATAGGGTTTCCGAGGAGCAGCTGGTGAGCTTGAACTGTCGACTTTGCAATTCAAATGGCTTTGCAGTCTAGCACATTAGCTAATAGCGCCACACCAAGACCCCTTAACCATTAGGGCCCCTTAAAGAGTACAGCCTTGGAGACTCTGTGGGACCACTCTAGTCTATCCTATAGGATTCTCTGAGTTGCAAACAATTCAGCAGCAATGGGTTTGGTGTTTTACTTTAGAAACTGGAATTGGAGAAATCCTAGCAAAAAGAGAAAACTTTTGCTTTAATCCTTATTTATTTATTTATTTTTAAGTCCAGAGAGGCTGAATTTCTGTACATAGACAGTACAACTCTCTGGACCTAGAGGGTTGAAGGTTTGTACTCAATTTCTAAGAAATTCCTGTGAAGCTTTTTCTTTTTTTCTTCCTTCAGTGCTATTATAATTCCAGGTTGTTATATACACGTGAGCTTTCATTTTATCAAGGATATAACTTGCATTGGTATAGCAATTTTTAGCTTTCATAATACTTCCACCCATTTTTTTTTTTTTTTTCAATGTTGATGATGATGTGCAGTGGTCACTGAAGCCTAAGGTCTTCAAAAGACCTTGTCCTGATGCTATTACCAACCATCCAACAGTTTTCCTAATGGTTACTTCCCTAGACTTTCTTGCTTTCTTTCAGTTTATTGAGGAAAACCGTGTTTCATTAAATCAGAATGAACCTTAAGTAACACATTATTCAGAGTTGCACTGTCCAATAGGTTACTACTCACCAGAAAAGGCTTTTTAGACTTTAATTAGAATTACATAAAAGTTGAAACTTAGTTCCCGAGTCACACCAGCCACATTTCAACTGTTCAGTGACCAACTTGGCCAATGGCTACTGAATTGCACAGAGCACATATAGAACATTTCTATAGGACAGAAAGTTATATGGGAAGAGCTACAGAGACTTAAGTAGGCACCTCTCTTCCACCAATAATATTCTTCTCCAGCTGCATGTAATCCAATGAGCCTGAAAACTTGTGATCCTCAAACTCCTTCACTTCCTAAAAGACACTTGAAATCTGTTAGTATCAAGAGAATCGCTTGGCCTACTCCTGCTAAGGTGATGCGGTAACAAAAGTGCAAGAGTTTCCCACAGATGTCATTATGGCAACTTGGTATAGGTAGGAAACTCAACTTGAGAAGCCTTCATGAAAAGACCTTGAGCCAGTCTTGGAGGTTGTTGTGGTTAGGTGCCAATGAGTTGGTACTGACTCATAGTGACACTATACTCAACAGAATGAAACACTGCCTGGTCCTGCACCAACCTCACAATTGTTGTTACACTTGAGCCCATTGCTGCTGTCATTGTGCCAATTCATCTCATGGGGGCTTCATCTTTTTCTCTGACCCTCCACTTTACCAAACATGATATTCTTCTCTATCGACCGGTCCCTCCTGATAATATGTATGAGAGACAAAGTTAGCCATCCTGGCTTCCAAGGAGCACTCTAGCTGCATTTCTTCCAACACAGATTTGTTTGTTCTTTTGGCAGTCCATGGTACTTTTAATACTCTCCTCCAACAACATAACTCAAATGCATCAATTCTTCTACAGTCTTCCTTATTCACTGTCCAAGTTTCACACGCATATGAGGTTACTCAGGAACTCTGGTAGCATGGTGGTTACCAGTCGGGCTGCTAACCTCACAGTTAGCAGTTCAAAACTACCAGTGATTCTGCATGAGAAAGATGAGGCTTTCTGCTCCTGTAAAGATGTACAGCCTCAAAAACCCTACACAGAGTAGCTATGAGTTAAGAACCAACTCCACACCACCACCATGAGGTTATCGACCATGGCTTGGGTCAGGCACATCTTGGTTCTCCAACTGACATCTTTGCTCTTCAACACTTTAAAGAGGTCTTGTGCAGCAGATTTGCCTAATGTTTGATTTCTTGAATCAAAATGAAGTATTTGACCACTTCAATTTTTTCCTTCTTTTATATGGATGTTGTTTAATGGACCAGTGGTGAGGAATTTTATTTTCTTTACATCGGGGCTCAACCCATACTGAAGGCTGTGGTCTTCAATTTTCATCAGCAACTATTGTAAGTCCTCATTGCTTTCAGCAAGCAAGGTTGTATCATCTGCATATGGCAGGTTATTAATGACTCTTCCTCCAATTCTGATGCTACATTTTTCTTCATATAATCCAGTTTCTCAGAAATATTTGCTCAGCATACAGGGGAAAGGCAAAGGGGCGGGGCTGAGCAAGCTGGTCAGGCAGTTGCTGTCACGAGGTCGGAGGCGGGGCTTAGCGTTGCTGGGCGTGGCCGCGAGAGGCGGGCTGGGGAGGTAGGGGAGCAGGCCGGCCCCGCGCGAGCCAGCCTTGCGTGCTCACGTGACAGGTCTGCGAGGCCCCGCTAGCGCAATCGTCTGGACGAGCGAAGATGGCGGCCGAAAGGGAGCCTCCTCCACTGGTAGATGGGAAGACCACTGACTTTGAAGAGCTGGAAGACGGCGAGGATCTATTCACTAGCACTGTCTCCACTCTGGAGGTGAGACCGCACGTATCCGAGAGTGCTGAGTGCCGCCGCTGCCGCGCGTATCGCCCTTTAGTGCCTTTCCTCTACCCCGACTTGTCTCTCCCCACCCCCCGGGTTTGCAAGGACCTGGTCGGTCGACACCTGTGACGCCGGCCCCACCTTGGGTACCTGTCAGTGGGCAGGAGTTGGACTGGGATGGCGTGGCCTGGCCCCCTTCTTAGGAGATCAGCCAGCCAGCCGCCCCGGGCGCCAACCTGATCCTCCGAGGGGGCCGGGGCCAGACAGATCATCGCAGCACCCTTTCTCCGCTCAGCTGGCCTTCGTTGGTGTCACTTGCACAGCACCTTTTTCCAAGCCGGAGAAGGTGGTGGTGTGGGTTCCAGCAAACCTCACCGTGCACCCCGGGGGCCTCAGCAGCCCTTTGGAGACGTGCTTGCTTTTTTTTTCCTATGGGAGGGGGTGCCCCCGAAAGGCGAGAGGACTGAAGTGAGCGCTCAGTGGCCGAGGATCAGTGTGGACCGGGTGGATGCGCTTTTCCCTGTCTTGGCACTTAGTGGACTGCAAGTACTCCTTAAGGGAAGTGCTTTTGTTTTGGACTATTAAGGAGATAAATGCATTTGCCCATGTTTTGTTGTCTTTAAATCTTAAACTTTTGAGAGGTCATTGTTGTTTATGAAATATAAAGTTGAAGGGAGAGAGCAGTACAGGAAACTTGGTTGGGGTTTTGCTTTGGGGTAACCTACCAGGGGAGAAATAAAAACAGATCTCCACCACCTTTTCCTCTTTCCTCGCATGGTCAGCGATCTTTCAAGCTGAGTGTTCCTGTTTTTGTCAAAGGAAGCACCCTCTGTGAACCTCACTGTATTATATCTCCTATGTTCATTTCCCGTTTAAATTGGATTGCGTTTGCTGAGTGCACACCCACTTCATAGCCTGATTGTAATTGTTTGTATGTGTATTAAAATGTAGGCAAATTTCCCAGAATGTTGTTTACCTGGGTTGTACTTCATTGCAAGGAGGTAAGCTTTCTTCTGCTGGTCAGCTCTGCTCCAGATCAATTGGAATTGACTATAAAATACCGATTAGCTAAAATTCAATTAACCTGCAACTTCCAGAAACCGGTTTCAGCACTGACCGTATTTTGCTAGTTGTTTGTGCCAGTTTCTCGCCAAATCCCACCTCCCGTCAGACTACTGTATACTTGCTGGGGCCAGGGATAATGTCTTGATCATCTTTGTGTCTCTTGCAGAACCTTCAACATTTGCATTCAGTTAGTTAATGCTACTGGATTGTCAAAACAACATGTAAACATTAGTCAAAATTATCATGCAGGATATACATCTTGGGGTTAATATTCTTTTAGTTCTTTGTACAAGGATCTCTGGTAGCGTAGTGATTCGCATCGGGCTGCTAACCTCAAGGTCAGCAGTTCAAAACTACCACCTGTTCCACGGAAGAAAGATGAGCTTTCTGCTCCTGTAAGGATTTACACCCTCAGAAATCCTATACAGAGTGTCTATGAGTCGAACAACAACCACTTCTTTATACATACTGTACCTATGTCAAAAGTTAGTGTTTCTGTAGCATTCTAAAGACCTTTGCCTTTGGGAGATACAAAGATTTTCATCAGCAAGGTTTGGAACAAATTTAATTGAAGGAGGAGTGTCCTAGAAACACTATAAGCATTCTATTTAACTTAGGTCTTTTAGAGTTGACTAAAAGGAACACAAGTATTAATCTGCTTAACTGTAGACTGTATTTTCTCTGTGGATGGGGCTCTTAAGAAAGAGTACGGTACTTGTGTTTTTGTCAATAAAAGTCTATGGAAGTTTGATTATGAATACTTTAAATTTATCTTGGTTTGTGCACTGTGAAAGTTGTAAATAATGTTTTTGATTGTTTGTTTAGACCTCTTTATTTTCATGGTCTCATTCAGGTTATTCTAAGAAACAAGTGTAACAGATTTGTAAATTCAGAATTTATTTTTCTGTTTGACACAGGATATATAGCAGTAACTCTCAGCACACCAAAATTGCTCCAAATGCATTTTCAGTTCTTCACTTATTTTTAAACAGTGCAGCACAATCTTGGGGGTGCTACAAAATCCATAGAATTCTTGTTAAAATGCAGATGCTTGTGCCTCACAATAACCTGCACTTCTAATAACCCTCAATATTAGTGTTTCTCATGTCTAGATCAGTGCTTTTCAAATTCTGATGTGCACACAAATCACCTAGAAATCTTGTTGAAGTGCAAATTCTGATTCTGTAGGGCTGTGGTGCATTTTTAACAAACTCTTCTGGTACTAAGGGAGATCAGGGTGGAGCACATGGTTAAGTATCGTCAGTAGCAAGCCAGGTTGGTAGTTCAAACTCATCCACAGTGCCTTACAAAACTGGCCTGCCTTCTGATTCGGAAAGGTTACAGTTCTACTTTGCACACAATGGTTCCCCTGAGTAGGAATGACTCCAGGGCAACTAACAACAAACTCCTTGATGCCTTCACTTCTACTTCTTAAGACTACATTCGGATTTTCAGGACCCTAGAGAATTCAAATGCAGGTGTTATTCTGAGTAATTGTTAACCAGTTATAATTAAGCCTTGTTGGAGGATAGGTCAGAAAGTATTGCTACAAAATCATAGAAAGCTTTATTAAACAAAAATATCAAAATATGAAATGATTGTTTCTCGACATATTCTCCATCTAGTCTGTACATTTCCATCTCTCTAACTCTTCCCTGGTAGTGTAGTGGATTTTGAGCTGGGTTGTGGTTAGCAGTGCAAACTACCAGGCACTCCGTGGGAGAAAGATGAGACTTTCTGCTCCCGTAAAGATCTATAGCTCTGGAAACAGCACAACAACCCTTCCCTGAGGAACCTGAGTGGCATAGCAAGTAATGCATCAAGCTGCTAACTGAAAGGTCAGCAGTTGAAATCCACCAGTAGGAAAACAATGAGGCTTTCTGTTCTCATAAACATTTACAGCCTCCAAAATCCTATATAGGGTTTCTTTGCGTCAGAACTGGCACGATAGCACACAACAACCCTTCCCTGAAGAATTCTACACTCTGATTTACACCATGTCAAAGTATTTGGCATCCTTGAGATAATCAAATTATGTTCCTTTTCGATGTTCTTTGAGTTTGGGGTACAAAAAGCATTATTAAGGGGCAAAATAAGGGCTGTAGATTAGATAAGGTAAAGTTTACTAGCAAAATTCTCATAGGACATCCTTTACTACCGTTGCAGAATGATAAGGTGCATTTATGTGTTAGAAAACAATTCTTCTTTGCATGTTTCTTGGTCTTTTGCTTTCCAATGCAATTTTCAGTTAAAACTTTTGTATAATAAACCCCCCTTATTGTCTTGTGTCCTTCAAGAAAATACTATCAGGAGAACCACTTGGGAATCTCAGAATCTGTTGCCATAACCTGCTAAATTGACCTCTGTGCATTGAATTCATCTGGCCTCGCAGACCCCTTCAGAAACCAGTTTTGGCTGGACCTTTTTTGTTTTTAAGGACCCTTGGTATGTGTAAGACAAGTGTATGACTGAGAGAACTTGTCTGCTGCCATCCAGTGAACACAGACATGTTTAAACACATTTTGTTTGAAATAATAAATAAATAAATACATAGATGAACTGGAACCCTACTAGCATTGCTTTTTGACTTACCCTCACAAATGAATGTCTTGAAAGTAAAGACAAGCAGAACTTTCAAATAGTCTTTAGTATGTAGATACTTTGTTTGACAGTATTTTAATTGGGGAGAGGAAGGAAGGGTAATTTGAAGTCCTCATAAGTGAAACTCACATTTTAGACAGTTGAGTGGCATAACTGTTAAACCAAAAAATATGTACATTAAGTAAAAAAAATTACATGCCTTTATAACTTAGTTTGCATTTGTGTTTAATGTGTATATTTTTAAACCCAGTATTGGACTCCTTTCCTTTAAAAACTGAAAACAGCCACATCAAGATATATCAGCAAATAAAAATATATTTCACAACCCTAATGTAGGTTTTTGTTGTGATTATAAAACAAGAAAATGGTTGGGACAGGGAAAGGAATGAGAAGGGTAGGAGTCTAGCAAAAACTTGTTCTTTTTGGTATCTTCAGAGGCATGGCTTTACATTGTTTATGAATACTGCTTTTTCTTTAAATGAAACAATCCCTAGCATAAAGGTGTTTGCCCTAAAATATCATGGAGTAGTAGATAGAATTGGGGGGATCCCCAGGAAATTCATATTGTTCACCTTTTGTTTTGAATGCTTTATTGAGATATAATTCACATACCATGTCTACTTAAAGTACAATTCTGTGATTTTTTAGTTATGTGCAATCATCACCATAGTCATTTTTTGTTCATTTTCATCACCTCAAAAAGGAACCATTTACACTTTAGCTGCCATCCCATATTTCCCATGCTGTCCCAGTCCCGAGCAATCACAAATTTCTCTGTCTCTGTAGATTATTCTATTCCTGATTTATATGTAAATGAAATCATTTAATATGGAGTCTCTTGTGACTGGCTTCTTTAACTTGGCATGTTGTTAGGGTTCATGTTCATTTATGTAGTATGTATTAGTATTTCATTCCTTTTTATGGGCAAGTAATATTCCATGGTATGGGTATATTATCACATTTTGTTTGTCCCTTGATGAACATTTAGGTTGTTTCTGTCTTTTGACTGTTATGAATAATGCTTCTGTAAACATTTGTATACAAGTTTTTTTTGGACATATGTTTTTATTTCTCTTGGGGGATCTATCTAGCTATCTATATTTATCTATAGGCTTGGAATTGCTGGGTCATATTCCAATTTTGGAGTCCTGATGTGGTGCCCTAGGATAAGCACTCCACCTCAAGGACAGTTTGAACTGCTAGCCTGGAACTGACTTGGTAGCACTTAATAACAACATCGTAACTCTGTGCAGTTTTTTGAGAAACAGACAAACTTTTCTAAGGTGGCTACACCATTTTCCATTACTGCCAGCAGTATATAAGGTTCT